TATTCATAGACACCCAGAATCTTTATCTAAAATGTTTGTGTATACACACACATTAAATGTGTGCATTCTTAAGATTTAAATAATAAATTGTGGGCCTCTATAAATTAATTTAGTATCTTATCTAAAACCATCACGTTATTTTAACAAGTATTATTCATTTAGTATAGCGATATATAGTATTTAGTATGTGATGAGACTTGGTTCGCTAACAAAAGAAATTTAAAACAAACTATGATTTAATTATTTCAGAAAAAATTGGTGTTTATACATTTCTATATGTTGTGATCCAAACTTTGAATAGCTTAAAAGCTAATGCTAGATTAGAAACAAATTCATTAGTAATGAAATTTGGTTTTAATTCTGATTTTGATAAATGTCATTAAAATGTATTTTGTTTGGATTTAAATTGTATCTAAATAATTTATGAATAACTACTAATTTTTCTGATCAGAGCTAGACAAAATTTAGTTACTTTCACTTAGTTCATTTTCCCACATATTTTTATCTTCCACATATGTTATCAGTTGCTGACTCCTCACTGTTTTTACCTAACATATAAAATATATAATACAATTCATCTCTTTTGTAAATTCCCTGTACTGAACTTATTGTTTATAACTACTTTTTTTTAATTTCAGACAAATGCAATAGTAGTTGATTAAATTGATACACACTCCAAAGAAAACAGTAAAAACATTGAGCTCATCTTTTGCAATGTTGAAATCAAACATGAAGTATTATATAAAGTGATAAAGCTGTATAGTAGATGGCTATCATTTCTGTATTTCAATATTCATCAATTATGTATCCTATACCATAAATCTGACCATGTTTCATTTATAGTTGTCTTAGTGTCCATGCTCAAATATCCTTTGATTAATCTCAGAACGATTACATAAGGCATTCTTAAACTGACATGTCCTATTGAACGAATTACTTATAATATTAGTATAACTATAGATAATCTTGTTTTATAGTCAGAGTTAATAAGTTAATGTTGAAAAAGTCATTTGTATTTTTATCTTTATGTGTGCATGTATATCATTTTACTATGTATGAATTAATATACTTTCATTCTTGAGAAAAAACTGTAAAATGTTATCTCACAGGGTGGAAAATGGCCTGTATTTTCTATTGTGTGCTATAGGTGATGGGGTCTTCTTTGTAATAACGGTATAAAGGTTTTAAAAATGTTTAGAATTCTAGAAAACTCAAAAATGATTAGCCCTAGTGTTTCCTATCTCATATTTATGAAAATACAGCTACACATTCATAATCAGTGTCTAAATTAAAGGCCAAAAGCGAATGCATCAGATCAGACATGTAAAACCTTTGCTAAATGTTTCCCAGTGTTCTTGTAGGAGCGAGAACTGAAAGATGAGGGTTTGGACTTCTGAAGAAAACTCAGAGGCTGGCTAGTTTCCGCTCTGAAATAGTGAATATGTATTGACCTTCACTAGTGTGTCAGGGTTTCAGCAATAAACTAGTCAGAGTCCTCCTCTTCAAGGATTAATTGCCTAGTGGTTGACTAACACCAATTAAATCAGAGCAGGCAGAAAGTTTAGGTGCTTAGGTAGATGACAGAAGTTTCATTCAATTTTCTTGGTCCTTCTGAGAATTTTGACTAATTCGAACTGCCTTTACATAGTTGAATTTTAACTGATTCAAATTAATCTTCTAATGCTGACTGTTTAGGTGACTTCAACTTTTCCAATTTCACACTAGAGCTGAAATAATGAGATGTTTATGAACGAATGATGAAAGAACAGAATTAAAAACCTTCAAACTACTAGAAAAAATTTTTTTAAATGTTTAAAATGCTTTAAAACACATAGGGTGAAATAAAGCCTGTAGTAGTTAAAAACACGTAACAGTAACTGGGAGAAATTTCTTTCGACAAGTCTTTTTTTTTACTTTTAAAAAATTTTTATTGTAAAGATGTGGGGTACAATTCAGGGTTAGGTATACAAACATTGATCATGTAGGTACCCCTGTTAATAAAGTATGTCCCTCCCTCCCCTAGCAGTTTCCCTCAACTGCCAATTCACCCCTCCAACAGTTTCCCATTACTGCCAATCACTTTCTTATAGCATTATAATTGTTCAAGGTCATCTTATGAGTGACAACATATGGAACTCTGTTCTTTGTTTCTGTGACAGATCACTGAGTATGATCAACTCCAAATCCATCCAAGTTGCTGCGAAGTCCATATATTTGTCATTCTTTATCATCCACTTGTTTTCTTTTTTTTTTAATAATCGATATTTTTTATTTTGATATTGTGGAGTACAGTCAAGGGTTAGGTGTACAAATAGCCTTCATTCAGGCCCCCTTGTTGATAATTGGTGTCTCCCCATCTCCAGACAGATATTTACCACCATTAGTCCCATCTCCCCCCCATAGTTTCCCAACACTGTCAGTCATTTTCTTATAGTAGTGCATTGGATGATCAAGGTCCACTATATGAGTGAGAATATGTGGTACTCAGATCTTTGTTTCTGTGAGAGGTTACTTAGTATTATAAGTCTTTTTTTTTTTAACCCTAGTTATATTGACCAGGGTGATTTTCACCAAATTGTTTTCAGCGAAGTTGTTTTTAGCCACAGATTAAGTCAAATTGAAGCTACAAATGAGTGCTGAAGACATTAAAAAGAGTCATTAAAAATATAATAATTTATAATTTACCTATCTGTACATGTTTAGCAATTCTAAGGAATTCCTTTTAAGGTGGATTGTTAAAATTACTCAACTTTTTTTTAGTGCTTTGAGTATTAGCCCAGGAAAGAAAAATATATTTAATTCATTTTCACACTTGTTAAGAAATGAAAATATTGTCTGGTTTATACTAAAATGAACATACTACCCTAACATATAGAGACTCTCTCCAAAGTAAATCGGGGTTTATTATTACCTATCCTTGCTGACATGGAAGAAGGCAAAAAAAAAAAAAACCAATTCAACTAGTGTTTTGTTTTGACTAAACTAAAAGCAAAACAAAATCCGGTTGTTTGCATCCTTACTCTTAAGAACCAAATGATAGGGCTGATTTTAGAAGACAGTTTTCTTATTAGAATAAGATCCAATGGAATCTTATTCTAATCCACTGTGTGATAGTAAATAAGCTAAAATGTTATCATCTGTGATACGTTGGGAAAACATCAGGTTATTTAAATGAAGTTTTAAACAACCAGTATTACTGTTTGTTCTTAAATTTGATTGCCCTGGAAAATATTGGCCTTTGCATTTATTAAATACATTTTAAGATCCTAATAAGCAAATGATATTGCTAACAAAAATATAATTTTCTCTTTTAGATATGCATAAAAGTTAAAATTGCACATGCTTTTTTTAATTTAGAAGATGCTTTCATTTGCTTCCAGTCTGCCTAAACTATTTAAGGAAGCGTACCTTGAAATAAGAAGTTATTATAACAATTAGTAAACAAGAAATATGTGTATTTATACACATAACACTTATTCACTTATAATGTTGTTAAAGTCCGTTCTAGTTTATAATGATGAAAAATCACACGGCAGGCTTTCCTCATTCCCCCCAGTAATTAATGCAGCACCACGGAGTTTTCCGAAGGTTGTTTTCTTAAGTTGACTGGCCAGGAAGTGTTTTCCCTGTTGAAAAACAGGTGTAAACATCAATACTCAAGATGAGAGAGCGATCGCATGCTGTTTTCCCGGGTCTCCAGTGTAGAAAATTCAGCGGGTGGAGTCTACAGATTGAGTAGGTTATTTATCAGAAGTCAAGAACCAGAAAATGTTTAGTGTGACTCAAAGACTTTCACTGAGAGAATGACAAGAAACCTTTTAATAGCAAAATAATCTGTCAAACACTCTGACTGTATAGGGGTTGTGTGACAAACATGTGAAAGCAAACCCCAGCACAGTAATTACAGGTAATTTGGGAACTGCTTCTAATTTCCTCACTGTGTAAATTATATGCCTATCCGCTTTAGACAAGCTTTGACTCTGAGGAGCTTACCGAACTTGACATTGGCTGCATTGTTTCAATGTTCTCTATGCTGCTCTTCATATTTTCAGCTAGTTTTGAATGAAAGGAAGGAAGATTTGGGCATTAAACACTAGGTTATTCTTTTGGTTTATTATTTCCTCTGTTTGAAGCTACTGTTTATTTTTGGCAACTTGACAAATTCTGGATTGGAGATTAAATGTTATGGTTCAAGTGTATGTTCAGTCACCTCTCTTAGGTATGCCATATTAAAATAAGTCATAAACCTTTCAGCATACTGGGTTCCATGCTAGTTGACTCAATACTTGTTAAAGACTCCTAGGTTCTGCAAAATTGTTAGAAGGCCTTACCAGCTATTCGGGGTAAGAATTGCAAGACTCTAAACTGTACATTAACATCATTTGTGAGAACAGGAGAAGCAAAATAACAACAATAACAACAATTGGCTTCTTTTGTTTGTTTGTTTCTAAAGATTGCTCTCATCCTGTTTCCTACCATTCGGTTTTCCTAAAAGAAAAAAAAAAACAAAAAGCATTTAACATGCATTTTCGCATTCATCGTTAACATTTTGTTAATCTTATACTGTGGTTATTTGTGTTTATTTCTGTATGTATTGTTTCTTTGTTTTCTTCTTTGACAAAGCATGTCATTTTTTTTTGTTTTCGTTTTACCTACGTGTATTTTGCTACTGCATGTCAAACTTTTTAAATGACTTGGTGAACGAATGAATTCTTGTCATTTTAAATTTTACTCGAAGTATTGCCAACAACTTGCTTATTCTCAAACGTTGCTCCGAGGTTTTGCTTTGTGCTGGGAGTGGAGCGGGGCGGGGGGAAAGAAGTGAAAAAAAAAAATGACAAGAATTGTGTGGCACAGTCAGTTTTGTACCTGATATTCTGTTAAAGCCTGTTCAAGTTAAACCGCAATAAGATACGTGTTTATAATTTGAATCATTTGTGGTTCTCTTTTGTTTGCATGATATGATTTTATTTTATATTTTGTTTTTTTCCACTCACCAGATGTTCCCAACACTTTGCCTCCCACTACTATCATCCCCTCCCTTACCACTGCAACAGTCACAACCACTGTAGCCATAACAACCAGTCCAACCACATCTGCAACCACCAGCAGCATCAGAGGTACAGTATGCTTCTTTGTTATGCTCTGGATAGCAAGTTGATGGAGCTTGATGGAAGTTTATAGAAAGGGTAAAACATGAAGGTCTAATTTTCCTTAATTATAAGAGGTAATTAAGTCACCTAAGTGACTACCAATTAGGGCTACTGGAATGGAATATGAGACAAGATAGTCCATTTGGTTTTCTTTCAGTGTCACTTATGACTATGATGACAACATTCCAGACTCTAGATTAAAAATAGATGTGATTTTGCAACATTGAGCATATTTAAGATGTGTACACAGCACACAGGCTTTGCCTTGTCATGAAATGCGAATAAAGAAACACGATGTTCAAGAGGGCAGAGGTAGCTTTAGCTTTTCTTAAAATCCTAATTTAATGTTATTAACTTGCTATTCCTCTGCAACTAGATTAAAATACTCAGTGTTGAATTTATTCTAAAAATGACACAGACTGTGGAGTCAATATAAACTGTTCTCCACATAGAACTTTCAAGTAAATGTTCAGCATCTGTGTCTTTCTAAAGTTATTTGCTGAGTGAATCTTTTTATCTAGTTAATAGAATATTCTAAAAGTAAATGTTTGTCGTCCCAGATGCCAGGAATTGATATTTGGTTCCAAGAGTAATTTCTGATATCAATATACCAACAAGCAATTTTGTGTCAAGAAAAGCAACCTTACAAAAATGAAATATTTTTATGGGCCAAAGAAATAGTGTTATGATGCAGAAACATAAAAAACATTCCCGAGTAGTCATTAAGTGTTTAGTCATTGATGAAGAAATAAAAAGTTTTGCAGGCATTATTTAGAAACATGCTTTAAATTTAATTTCTACATAAGCAGTGTTCAGAATTTGTTGCATTAAGTCTGTCATTTTTCTATCTCTTACATGTGTTTTTGTCACCTTGGCTATACTAATACCTGTTAAACTTAACAATTTAACTTAAATTTCATAAAGACTTTACATTATTATATTGAATTAAATTATTTGAAAAATATGCTTAGGATTGACTTTCTTTACGTGTGAAGGTTGCTCAGTTAGACTATCTGTTTTTCTTGGGATTTTTATTACTTGTAAAAGTTGTTTAATTAGACTGTTTTTCTTGGGATTTTTATTAATTCTTGATGTTAAATGATTTGCTAGCTTTGATTGAAAAGTTATAATAGCCTCTTTCTTGTCCACAAAAAATATTCCAATGTCTGCTTATTGTCGATTTGTAATAATGTTAACTATATTATACAATGTATAATATTGATGACTAAATAAGTTTGATGTTAGTAGCAATAAGAATTTCTCAGAAGTACTTGGGGGTTTATTTTTGTCTGAACAAACTTTGAGTTAAATCTACAAGTGAGAAGAGTTTGAATGTCTTTCTTTAAAAAATGTATATAAAAATGGAAGAGATAATAAAAATGAAGAAAAAGTTAAAAAAAGATTTTATGATATTATATTTAGAAAAGTATCTAAAGTTCTACTTTGCCTTCATTTGTCATTTTCTGCAAAGATTTCCACAAACAGTAATTAAAGTAAAATGTAATTATACTGACAAATTGTATGTGATAATATTAAGTTCTGACTGCATAAACGAATCACGTCAACGAAAACGAAGGGAAGTTTATTGATTTATTTTTTAAAAGTTCAATAAATTATTCCTTTCTTCTTCAACAAGTATTCATTGAATACTTGCTATATGTACCAGGCCTTAAAATTATGAAAATTATTTGTATCTAAATCACTAGGAATCGAATTTATAAATTTCTACCAAAAAGCAGTATTTGCACCTAATCCTTAGTGAAAAATATTAACGTTGCTTGTGGAAAAATCTTGCCTGTGTCTTTTGGTATTTTGAATATGTATATTTATTTATGCATACTATTATATAATATATTACATATATTTAGTATTCTGCTTCAAAGGATGAACTGTACCTATACTAAACACATACACACACACACGCTATTATGGGCTAAAACAAAAGCAAAATGTTTTATTTCAAAATGAATTTTACGAAATTATTTTATATCGGTTCACATGATTCTTTAGTGGAGTTTGGCCTATTGCATTTTAATTAGCCTATTAACATGAAATCGGTTGTTTATTTTTCCAGGTAAATGAATCTTTCTTTTCAGATTTCTCAATATCTTTTTGTAAACTTTACACTATGAACACTTATATGCTAATATAACCACACAACCTCAAAGAACACATGTACACACACACACACACACACACACACACACACACACACACACACACCCCAATCCCTCTTTTTTATGTAAGGATTGAAAGATAACATTTTTTTAAGGGAACAAATATATATAAAGATGAAGTCTTTTGTAAGTTGAGCAATTCATATTATCTGCTTATAAGGAAAAGATGGTAGCACTGACATTGAATATTAGCAAAAGCCTATTTTTTGCTTCTCTCTTCATCGAATATCTGCAGAAGTCACCTGACTCACTTGCAGCATTAATATTCTAGTTTGTATTGGAGAAGGGGGGAGGGTCATTTAGTACATAAACAATATTATGAATTTTACATTCTGTTCCTTTTAAGATATGCATGATTCCTGTCTTTATGCATTGCTTATTGAATTAAAGCTTTTAGATCCAGTTATATTTGAACAGAATTCCTTTATTTATCAATTTGTGAAAGATGATTCCAAGTTATGTTTAGAAAGGAATCATAATAAGAATATATTGCCTTAAAAAGCTGAGAACTAAAGAGAAGGAATGTTTTCAGCCTGCAAAATTTCCTTTTGTTGACTTATTTTATCCATTTCTCTTTTTTTCAGTAATTTGATGTAAACAAAATATATTTGATTTTATTAGGTTTAAATTGTATTTCTTGAAATTTCCTAAACTGTAACGTTTATCTCCATTTATTTAATAAATGATCATAAATGATTCACTGTTAATATTTCCATTTACACTTTTACAACTACTATTATTGCTGAATTTTTCATCCTATGATATGACAAACATGCAATTTAAAAATAAATTTAAGGAATTACAGCTGTATTTATATTAAAAATCAAGATGAAATAGAGCAAAATAAACTACATGCAAATTGTCAATGTCATAACCTTGAGAATTTTCACATCTCCTTGGTTTGTGTCTAAAATGTATCCCTGTTTAGAGGAAGAAGAACTTCAACCACATGGAATAAAACAGGCAATTGCTGTATCTTATTACAAATACTGTTATTAAAACACAGAGAAATGAACCAACATAAGCAATCTGGAAAAGATAGAGAATAAGTGAGCCCAGGAGACAACTTTGGGTATATGTTTTGGTTCTTTTTTTCACAGTCTTTGATCTTGGACGGTGAACCAAATTGAGCTTGTGTTTTCACGAGAAAAAATGTAAAACTCTTAGTTTCTAGGGTTGTCTTGAGAATCGGACAATATCTAAATTATGACAACGATGAATATTCGACATATTACAGAATTATAGTTGCTATTTTTAAGAAAACAAATGTGTTTGCATGTAGTTGCATCATATTATTAATGAAATGGTAGATTTCTCCTTATCATTAATTATTGTTTTAATTTTGGCAAAATTTTTTGGTGTTAATGCACTGATTACTTTTAAATTGCAAATCTATTTTTATTGATTATATTAAAAAATTAAATGAAAATGGTACGAAAGCAGATGGGATGTATCTATATCTATATCTGTCTATCTATCTATCTATCTATTCATCCATCTTTTGACATATAACAGTTAATAAACTTGAAGTATTCTTGATTTACATCATTTTAATTTCCGCTTTTGGAAAATGAAGATTTTTAAATAAAGTAGCCTAACTAACTTTATCATTCAGAAAATACATATATATGTCAGAATATATAAGAATAACATTTATAAGAGTGTGTGCACATATATAAATGTTATGTTTTTTAGGCAATTTTGGTAGTTTTTAATGAATTAAATGTAATCATTTATAAGATGATTCCAAATGACTTTATGTGATTTCTAGTGGTAATATATGCACTAATTTAGTATAACATATAGCATCTAATCCTATTTTTATCATATAATTTTAATTTCATAATAGCCATGTTATAATCTAATAATTTTTAGTAACACCCTCATTTTTCAGATGGCAATATTCAGTTATTTAAAATTCAAGAGACATAGTGACATATATAAATGATTATGCCTATTATAATTTTAAAATAAGAATTTATAATGTAAATTATACTTAAGGCAGAAGCATCTCTCCTAAATTGCTAATTGAGATGTGTTTCTGCCTGTGCAAGACTGTACATTTACTAAATATAAAGATGAACTAATAAATATGAAAAGGAGTTGTAAAATATGCAATACAATCTCTGTCCTGTTACTAAGAGTTTGTTCAAATACTCCATACATTTCAATATATTCAAGAGGGAAAAAATCCTGAAAATGGTGATAAAATCATTTATTCAATTCATGTAAAAATCCAAACAAATTACTGGTTCAAATATGGAAAAGGTTTTACATCAGACTTTGAAATGATAAAATTATAATTTCATATTAATAAAAACTATATTATTTATTTAGTAATCTCAAAAAATGTATTAATTATAATATTTAGTTACAATAAAACCTATTTCAAAGTAGTACATATCCCAAAAAAGGATTTTTTCAAATTTAAGAAATCCAACATTATCAAAATATCTACAGCCAGAGTAATAATGACAAAACTCACAACAGTTGAAGGAATGCATTCAGTTGTTTATAGTTGAATTGCACGTTAATTTTCTTGTTCTGTTGGGTGCAATAACAAAAGTCATACTTTGGATGGCTTATACACAAGTGTTTTTTTTCTCATACTTCTGAGACTGGGAAGGCTAAGTTCCAGGTGTAGACAGATTAGGTGTCTGGTGAAAGTCTGTTTCTCATAAACGACTTCTACCTGTATTTCCAAGTGTCCTCACAGGGCGAAAGGAGTTAAACAGTTCTCTAAGACTTCTTTTAGAAGGGTGCATGTCACAATTATGAGGACTCTACCCC